TATATATATATATATATATATATATATTATATATATATATATAAATTGTATAATTATTTTAAGTTTATATATATATCTCTATAAGTTTATATATCTCTGAAAAGGTTAATAGATACGCGAAAATAAGAAGGCCAGCTAGTTTTCGAATAGCTACGTTGCGAAACACGGCATAACGCCCGTGACCGATTATTTGATTAACTATGATTCAATGGAACAAAATTATAAATTAACAATACGTTTCATTATAGCACCCTCTGATATCGTGATAATGTAATCGGTCATATAATCGTAAAAAAATTTTGAGATTACAACAAACGAGAGCACAGTACAAGTAACTGTGAATGTTTGATCCTCATTTTGATCTTATTTATATAAGGATTTTAAGGAAATGATCAAGATACGATAAATCAATCTTTACAATTAAAGTACCTCTTATCTCGACGCGCGCATAACCACTTACAATCAACCTTTGCGTATCTTTTTCTTCGAATAGCGTGATCGCTCCACTCCTGATCGTGCGCCAACTCGTCGTGTAAAAATATCCCTCAAGAGCGTAACGGTTCAGTGACAGAAACGCACACGCGGCTAGTCTAATTGCAGCTACTAATGCTGGACGACGAGATCTCCGATGTATGCGAGATAGAATTGGATAGGATGAGGATCTGAGAAACGGGAGAAACGGGAGATAGAAGAGAAGGAAGAAGAGAAAAAACGGAAGAGGAAAGGAGAGAAGGAGATACACGCCGACGATGCACTAGTCTCTCTCTCTCTCTTTCCCGCCGACGGGAATCCGACTCCTCCTGACTCCTCAGCTCCTCCAGCAATGCACACGGTGCAACGTGCGTCGTGCGACTGATTCGCGCGTCCCACGCGGCTCGCCTTTTAAACAGTGTTACGTCACACCGCGTTACAAGTCGAGCCTCCGACGGCGTGGCCGTCGATTGGACAAAAGCGGCGCGGTAATTGCGCCGATTGGTCGACATGGGACACACACACTCCATGTCGGATTCAAACTTGAGACGCATTCATGGCGGGACATAAAGATACGCGCGCGCGGGCACGCGCAAAAGAGAGAAAGGGAGAATGATCCGGATCTAAGAGAGGTTGTTGTTACTGATGTTGCGTGCGTTTTGGAAAACGAAAATGAATCTGTAAATAAGATCGGATGACAATGACCGACGATTGAATCGCGGATATCATAAACGTCTCTCGTACGCATGCGCGCGAACAAACCTTTTTAGATATCATTTTCGACGATTATACAGATAAGAATCTAGTATATGCTGAGAAGATTACAAAAAAATTACACACGTTTAAAGCTAAACGAAAGGACATTTAGATACTTGAATGTGTGACGTAGAATCTTAAATATTATTTTTAATATAAACACGTTTCGCGATAAATCAAAGTTATACGTATTAAAATTGACGGAATCGTTTACAATCACATATTATTAAATGACATTCATAAGTTCGAGTTATTTTTAATGTCTCTTATACAAGTAGGGAAAATTATATAAAGGATATTATTAAAACTTCTTTTTGCGGATAAGAAAATGTCAAGATATAAAAAAATCATATACGCAAACGTTAATCGAGCTCTGACGTCTTAATTCACAATTTCTCTGCTTATAGTGCTCATGACGTCGATCGCTGGCGCAAATAGTGAAAGTATCGCAGGAACATACAAAATTGAGAACTGTGCACAACTGATGAGAAATAAATAAACGTCAGAAGTGACGTTTAAATATAACATATTTAAGAAACCGTTCTACCTAGTTGTAATAAGCAAAAGTTATTGCGGCAATCGAAGAGTTCTTTTCTCTTTTTCGAAGAGTCCGTAAATTCACTCGACGGAACAAAGTGTATTGCTAAATTCATAAAAAATCGACAAAACGATCATTGCACGATTCGTTTCGTGCAAGTAAAAAGTAGGTCGTATGCCATGGTTCATTGACAATAAGCGAAAATATACTTCAAGGTTATATCAACTAGATGCCGCGAAAAAAGATTGATTGTGCTGACCGGTGAAACGGCGAATGATCAGCGTAAAACCGCCGTGCTATCGTAATATAAAATTGAATCGTCTCACAGATATCATGGATTATCATTCACCATTAATCGATAATATTGTGCATGTTAATCGTTTTTTCGTCATCGTGTTGTTTCTTGATAATGATCGTATCGACAGAAATCGTGACGGTTAAATAGAAGAAATGCACATACCCTCCTCATGTATCATTGCGCAATCGATATTATATAATCCTTTTTATAATACTTTGAATCACCACAGCTTTGAGCTTTCCACTCACGTTCCTAACGAGTGAACAGTCACGAGTTACATTATTCTAAACGGCGGCAGGTACATATGCACATATGCATAACATTTATTTAATTGTCCGTCGTTCAATACAAATACATTATCCGGAGAACAAAAGACAAAGGACAAAAGGATAAGCAGATGGATATTACTCACCGGCGGAATATAAAGTACGTCCCTATTCTAAAGAAAAACAGAACATCATGATTCAGAAGATCATTCTTCACCTATTTCTTGCATCTGCGTTTCATTATCTGCTGTCTAATCTCGATATCTTATCTATATCTCGCGCCTGTACAGCCTCCTCGACAAAAATTGGCACATCACGATCGTTTTTCTGCTGCCATCATATATCGTTACGATGGCGAAACAATTTTTGGACCAAGTTTCGTGCAACTTTATGTAATCGGGCACTTCCTTTTTCGAGTCATCATGTTTTCAAGATTCAAACGCGATTCAAACGCCAGATTTACAAATTCAGCAGTTCGAGTCAAGTTTTCCTATGACCGTTTACAAATTAACAAGCTATAGATAGCTTTATGCGGTGCAATGACTTGATCCCAGCCGATTTCAACATGTAACATTACTTTTCGTTGCGTCATGTATTCGATATCATAGACTAATATCATAGACGATACTAAGACCGCGGTTATTTGTTTCCTTAATATGATGAGATTAATTAACTCAGTCAGTTGTATGTAATTAAAACTAAACAACTTTATGTATATCAAACTATCATTTATTAAATCACAATCATCATTTTTTATATCATTTTATTTTCCAATTTTTGCAGCTGTTTCAACGTTATTTCAACG